GTCTGCTTGATCTTGTCTTTGCATGTATTTTCTGCCGTTGACAGTGTGTAATCTTACCACTCTTCTGTCACTCTCTATTAGGGGAAGATATTTGAGTTTTTCTTCTCTGACAGGCTTCTTTCTGTCTTGCACAGGTTCTAGCTTTGGTGTGTTTCACCATGCCTGCTGTATTTGTGGGCTAATGACAAAACCAACCAGACTAACTTGAAGTTACCAGGCAATGGAGGGAAATAAAGTTGCAGGGCCTTGAAAGTGTGGCAGAGGAACTTGAACTTGATGTGGAAGATCATGGGGAACTATGATCTTCCGAGCGCATGAAATGACACAATGAACGTGGATTAAGGAAGACTCTTTGCCAGGAGAACTGGATAGTTTCTACATTTTTCTGACAGTATGTGAATCAGTCTTTTCATTCTAAGTAGAATAAAAGTTTCAGATTAATCAGAATAGACTAGTTTAAAATTCAGTCAGAAATTACTCCTGAAATCTCAGAATCTTAGTACAAGGGGACTTCAAAATGTTCCTGGAAAACCAGAATTAAAAGATGATGGGATTTTTCCATGATTTTTTGAGACACCCTTCATGCTTAAGTAAGCTTTTATATATGAGGGGCTTAGACTACTGTATTACACACAGCTTGTTGGTATTTATGATTGTAGATGTTGTTACTAATAATTTAATCTGCTAGCTTCTATTACAGCACCCTAAAAGAAGGCTAAAGATTCTGACTCTCATTATGGAGACCAGAGGGAAAGAGACTATAGTAATTTCCAGATCATCTGGGATGTTAATATCAGGCAAAGAAAAGATGGGCAGGAGAGATATTGGCTATAAAAAACCTCATGCAGGATTTATTTACTGACTGTATACCATGTAGGAGACAAGATTAAGCAGATCTCAGGGAGAATAAAGCTCAACTTTTTAGAAAAATTATAGGACAGATGCTGAATCAAAGCTCAGATATGGTGATAGTGAGATGTCGAAGGAATAGGAGGCCCGAGGAAATAGAAATTTGGAACCCGGATGAGAAGCATAGAATTAGACCCATCTCTCATTGAACACATTTCACATAAGGGTGATATCCTAATGCTCTCAGTCAGAATACATGGTCTAGGGTCAGCTGGTTTGGATTTAAATTCTGTGATCACTGCTCAGCGTGGCTCTGATCCTCTTAGTTTCCTCATTAAAGCAGGCATGACACTAGTGCCCATCTCTCATAGCAGTTGTTGTTGGCTTCCATGGAGCTTATTCTGACTCATGTTATCTTCCCAGGTAACTCGGGGTGGGTTCTAATCACCAACCCCTCAGCAAATAGTAGTTTCAACACCCAAGGACTCTTTCTCATCAAAGTTAAATGAGATGATGCTGCAGAGGGTTTGGATAAGTAGCATGTAGTAAATGTTTAGTTGTTTCTTCTTAGATAATTTAGGTTTTTGTTGAATAGAAGTTTGTGGATTGTTCTTTAAGTGATCATGTTTTAAAAGTTTAATGTAGAACCAGATGTCCACTAACATCTGTTCACATGAACTTCGACCTCAATGGATTCAAAACAGTGGGCCACATATTGTTACAAGATTTTAACTCATGTTTTTCATTTTCTCCTTGTTCACCTAATGTCAATGACCAGATATTTTTACCTTTACAGATAATAAAACAGTACCATAAATAAAAAGTGACCAAAACAGATCATTATAAGGGCTAATTTAAGCTTCATGTTTCCCCTTTTAAAATTATACATTGTGTGCTTTTTTTTTAACTGACTGAAAGGCGTAACAACCTTTCCTCTTGAAATAAGAAAATTTCTGTGAGTGGAACATATTTTTATATCTAAGTTGGCTTGTTGGTTTATTAGCTGTCGTTTTTAAAAATTATATAATATTTTTATTGACGTCTCTTACTTATTCCAATATATCCCTTCCCTTCCCATAATAATTAGGTGTTGTTTAAGATGTCTAGTTTAAGTCACAAGGTGTTAGAGGTTACAAACTTCACTTTTGAAAATATGACTTGTGATACTCTTCATTATCAGAATTGATATAATTGTCAATAGAGACAATTAGTGTTTGTTGGGGGTAACATGCGGGTGGGAAAGACAATTATAAGATGGCAGACAGGTTGCTCATACTTGGGAAAGTCCTGCTACCCATAATATGGCATTGTTTTGAGCAAGTGTATGATTTGGAAAGAATCCTGGGATCTCTGCGTTTGTAATTTTATATTTTACTCCTTATCTATCCTCAAACGAGTCTTCTTTAAACAAGTGGCAACTACATTTCTTGCCTCCCCTTATCCCCTCTCAATTAGCCAACTATTGAAACACTGGTAAAAGATACTACCAACCAATGGCTGAAAAACAAATGATCCCCTAGAGACACAAAGAAAAGCCCCCATAAAATTATTTGTTCCCAGGAAGAACATAACAAGTAGACCTTCCCTGAGGGGCTGACCCCAATCTCAACTACATGGACAGTCCCCTCTCCCAACAGAAGAATTTACTTCAGAGGACAGCACTGAAGCTACAGCTCAGGAGAAGGACACGTCTGATCAGAGCACAGGGGAGCAAATGAAGGGAGAGGGAGAGAGAGTGGAGCACGTTCTGGCCCACCAACCCTTGAGGATGATATCCCTGCTCAGAGCAGCCAATGCACAGAGAGGACCATATGGCTGGCCTCACTACGAGACATGACATCCTTCACTGACCCATAGCCCTACAGAGGACAACACTGGAGAGAGACAATGCAGGAAAAGCGCCCGATCTGACCCCACCACACTGAGGTGAAACACTAAGGGTGTGCAACAGAACAGCAGGGGAGCAGAGCAAGGAAGTCCCCAGGGAGTACCAAAAATAGACTTTGGGGCCAGGGTGTAGCACCCTCATCAGACTCAACCAGAAAACACTCCTAAAGGTCAACAAACAAACCTTGAACTATTTACAGACTTTTATTTTTTCTTGTTGTTGGGGGTTTTTTTTTGGTTGCTGTTTTCTTTTGTTGCTTTGTTTTGCTCTGTCTTGTTTTTGTGCATGTTATTATCTCTGCAGGTCTAGCTAGATAAGATAGGCTGGATAAACAATCTGGAGGAGAAAACAATGAGACTGAAGGTTGGGGGGGCGGGGCAGCGAGAGGGGAAGGCGGGGTAAAGGAACTGGGTGTTAACAAACTCAGGGACAAGGGAACAGGAAGTGATCCAAAATCTATGGCGAGGAGGGTGAAGGAGGCCCGGTAGGGGTTCATCAAGGGCAATGTAACTGAGATGAATTACTGAAACTCAAATGAAGGCTGAACATGATAGTGGGACAAGAGGAAAGTAAAAGGAAATAGAGGAAAGAACTAGGAGGCAAAAGGCATTTATAGAGGTCTAAATATGGGCATGTACATATGTAAATATATTTATATATGATGACAGGGAAATAGATCTATGTGCATATATAGTTAAAAGGTTTAGTATTAAGGTCACAGATGGACATTGGGCCTCCACTAAGTACTCCCTAAATGCAAGCACACTTTGTTCTAATAATCCAGCACTCTGAGATGCGCACCTTCCCGACAAGATCACTGAAGACAAATGGAGGCAGAAGTAAATGTGGTGAAGAAAGCTGATGGTGCCTGGCTATCAAAAGATAAAGCATCTGGGGGTCTGAGAGGCTTGAAGATAAATAAGTGGCCATCTAGCTCAGAAGCAACAAAGCCCACATGGAAGAAGCACACCAGCCTGTGAGATCACGAGGTGTCGAAGGGATCAGGTTTCAGGCCTCAAAGAACAAAAAATCATACCATTGTGAATGAGAGGGAGTGCAGATTGGAGACCCAAAGCCCATCTGTAGAGAGCTGGACGTCGGGAAGAGACGATTCAGTCAGGGTGCAGCGTAACACCGATGAAACATACAACTTTCCTTGAGTTCTTAAATACTTCCTCCCCTTCCCCCCTGACCTCATATCATGATCCCAATTCTACCTTATAAATCCGGCTAGACCAGAGGATGTACACTGGTAGATAGGAACTGGAAACACAGGGAATCCAGGACAGATAAATCCCTCAGGACCAATAATGAGAGTAGAGATACCAGGAGGGGAAGGGGAAGGTAGGGGAGAAAGAAGGAACCGATCACAATGATCTACATATAACCCCCTCCCTGGGGGATGGGCAATAGAAAATTGGGTGAAGGGAGACATCACACCGTGTAAGACATAAAAAATAATAATTATTTATAAATTATCAATAGTTCGCGAGGGAGGGGAAAATGAGCTGATACCAAGGGCTCAAGTAGAAAGCATATGTTTTGAGAATGATGATGGCAACAAATATACAAATGTGCTCGACACGATGTATGTGTGTATATATGTATGTGTGGTAATGAGTTGTACAAGCCCCTAATAAGATGATTTAAAAAAGCAAAAAAACAAGTAGACCTTCCTCCATATTGGGTTTTGTTTTTTTTTAATTGCTTGCTATTGAGTTGATTTGAATTCATGGAAAGCTCTTTTGTGTCAGAATAGAACTGTACTTCATAGTTTCCAGTGGCTTTTTTTTTTTTTGCAAGTACTTTATTAGGCATTTGTTCCAAAGTGCTCCAACCTTTCCTTTATCAGCTAAGCATGTTAACTGTCTGTACCCCCCAGGATTCCACTTTCTAATGGTTGGTTACTTCTGTGTAAAGGTCTTGTCTCACTTCTGAACGGTAAATTCTTAAGTACTGTGCAGACTCTTAACTTTAGTCATCACTGCCTTTTTTGATGTTGCTTTTCCAGTCTATCTTTTACTGATTAAATTCTCACTGAAATACTGACCATGAACAGTGAGCACTGGAAGCATACTGAAAACTTTGTAGCTTTCGGCTCTTTATTCTAAAAGAGTACTTTGAAACTAAGGTGCATGATTCAAAATGAAACAAAAATAACTGGTATTACTGAGGAAATACAATCTAAAATGGTAAGAAACATTGATTTTTAAAAATTTTATGAATAAAAAGTTATGATATGAACATTTTTACATTGGTAATATACAATCCAGTCAGTCTTTTCCCAGATTATTGGCAGAAAATATTACTTAAATTTTCATTGACCCACAAGTTTTCACTGTACACAAGAATTATTAAGATAGCTTTTTTATGTACATGAGGAGGCTCCAGAGTTTGTGAAATGGAATGAAGAGATAGTGGACTTTTCCCATACATTTTTGGAAGCCCCCTCTTGAGCTGTAAAATACATCTGCTTTCACGTTGGATGGAAGTGATGAGAAATTAGAGCACAATGTGTCTATCTTTTAAGGAAATCCTAATTAGAAGTTGAATGATAATTTTCTTTATAAGTCTTGCAGTTTATTTTGCTGTAAATCCAAGATTTAGTCCTTTATTTTCCATTTAACAACTTGGAATGTATTATTGTTTGTGTTTCTGTCATTTCACGTGAGTTTTCTTCTGGGACAGACCTCACAGCACTGGAAATTGATACACTCACTTGACGTTTCAGCAGCTTCATCACTTTTCTCTTGTACCCTTTACATGCAAAAAAATAAATGAAAGGGTCCATGCAACAATTGAAGTTCATCAGGCACACTGTAAAGTGCAGAGAAATCTGGAAGGAATATCTTTGGCTACAGTCAAGGAGACCAGGAGCATGAAGCTTCTTTATCATGTGTTGAATAATTGCAATATGATAAGGTGTGAAACAGATAACAAACACAATGATTATAAAAATGATGGTGTTGAGGGCCTTTTTGTTGACACCGGATTTTTCAGTTAGTGGGTTTTGTTTGGCGGTTTTAAAGAGTTTGCAACAGATCTGGGAGTAGCAGATGAGAATGATTATGAGTGGAAGAACATATCCTATTAAACATGCCCCTAGCAGAATCCAGGGAAGCGATTCTGTCTCTTCAAAGTTTGGATATTCCATGCACGTAGTCCTTTTGTTCTCATCCTTTGACATGGGCTTTACAAGTAGTGGAAGAGTTTGAGCAAATACTAGCATCCAGACAAATATGCACACGCCTTTCGCATGTTCAATTCTTTTCATCTTGTTGTATCGCAGAGGGTGCACCACAGCAAAGAACCGGTCAATGCTCATGCAGGTCATGAAGTTCACACCTGCGTATGTGTTGATGTAAAACACAAGCGCAGTTATCCTACACAGGGCGTCGCCAATTTTCCAGTCAAAGCCAAGCGCGTAGTACACTATCCGTGTAGGCAAAGCAGTGGTAAAAAGTATGTCAGAAATCACCAAATTGGTTGAATATAAGGTGGTAGAGTTGATTTTCTTTCTGTTTTGGAAGATGACCACCAAGGCTAGTAAGTTCCCCAGCAGTCCAACGATGAAAACAACGCTGTAATGCAGAGGCATTAGGATCCTGGCTGTACTGTGGTGTGCATAAAGGTCACAGTCGTTTCCCTGAGGAGTTGTAGAAGCTGTGGTAAAGTTAACGTCCATCTTCAAATCTCTCGATGGTGTTCCAGGTCTCTAGGAAAAGCCAAGAAGGGTCCATTTAATTAAAAATGTATTTACTTTAGTTTGTCTAATTTTGAAAATAGCAGGATTTATATATTTTTTTTAATTTTATGATTATATGATAGAGTTACATAGGTGATCAAGATTAGGAAGAACCGAGCATAAATTTATGTTTTTATTCTCATATTTTGATTGGTTTGACAAAGTTCCTTTAAAGAAATTAAACTCAAAACTAAACCACTGCCATTCAGATGGTACCCAATCACAGCAGCCCTGTTTTCAAGACTAAATCTGTATGGGAGTCGACGGCCTCATCTCTCTTCTGTCAGGCGGCTGGTGATTGGCTTGGTCCACCTTACAATTTGCAGCTTTGAAATAAGGCAAAAGAGGTTAAGAATAAAATCATGTAAAGCAAGCACATTCCTGATAGGTATAAACGTTTGCTTTTATATTGAATTTTACTTGGGCTTTTTTTTTTCTTTTAAGCCAAGTGCATATCACTGCCAGGAAATGAAATTAGTCACACATTTATGTAGTGAAATATGAACTTACCACAGTGATCTGATTTGTGTTAACCTAAAAAGTATGAGAAACAAACTTAGATCTTGCAGGAACTGAAAGTTAGGTTTCTTTTAAAAAAAAAAAAAAAGGAGAAGAAAGAAAAAAAGCAACTTTAAGGGGAAATTTTAAAATTAATTTAAAATGGTATCACCCTGCAGGTATCCCCATGATACATCTAGTATACATTCCTATATTTGCATGTAGTAGCAAACATTACATACAACATATATTCTACTTTGCTGTATTCGCTTAACAGTCTCATGGGTCAGTTACGCTGTCTATGTGTCATATGCAGATATTAGCTAGATATTCTATAATATTTCAATGTACCAATGCATAATTATGTAAGCTACTCCTTTGGTGGACATTTGGATTATTTCCATTCTTTTCCTTGATCAAATTCTTAAAATCCTAGGTTGGGAAGTACAAAGCTCTACATAAGACTCCACGAAGGAGAGTGAGACCTCCTAAAGCCAGGGATGAGTAGAGCAATAAAGTAGAAGACACAGAAGGCCTCTCATAAGACTACCCCAGTGGAAATGTTTCTTCATTTTGCTGAAAATTTCAGCCATATTTCTTTTTGAAGATTGTTTCAAAGTAGGTTCATGGTAAACGACTTAAAATAGTTGGTGGGGATGACTATTCAGTGGAATCCAATGCACCTTTCTAGGAATAATAATAATAATTTTAATAATAATCCTAGGAATAGTACTTTTATTTGTATAGTTTATTGTTTTTTACTTTTATTTGTATCGTCTACATGTTTAACATCAAACAGTGACCACACAATGATTGACGAATGAATAGGTAAATCATCTTTTTCTTTTTGGAATCTGAAGCAAATGGTTTTTCTTTTTTGTCTGTAAGTTCAATCATTCTTCAAAAAAAAACCTTGGTCCTTCTGATATGCTTTCCAAAGCTAGTCTTTCAGTGCTCTCTATTCAGATTGACCAATTTACTGGTATTAGGTGCTTGCCATGTGTCAGAAGCTTTTTAATCACGTCACATGTGTATATACCTCAGTGCAGCCCCGTGAGCTAAGTACTGTTTTTGCTTGGCAGGTGAGGAAACGGAGTGTGAGATCACGTGAAGGTCGTGCTAGATAGGAGGAGGCTTCAGAACGTTTGTGGGAAAATTCCATTATCTTCTCATTCTATTTTCACATAAATCTTTTGAAGTACCCCCATCCCCACCCCATCCCCTTGCGCTTCTCTCTGGTGATCTAACCTCAGATCTCCCATTCTGTCCAAACTCCTTCTCACTGCCACCGAATCACCGAGAGCTCGTGCCATCAAAAGTTATCGAGGCTTTTAAGGGTCAAATGTCCTGCTTGTTGTTTTCAGTCTTTGGATAGTAAATGCCTCTCCTCGTTGTTCGGGTGTAACTGTATATTCCAGGATGTAGTAGTCAAAGTAACTCACTGTTGGGTGGCCACTTGTGACCTGCTATTTAGGATAGATACATAGAGTTGAACGTGGAGTCGATGGTGTCCTGTCATTTTATTGCCTGGAGGAAAACACAGAACACTGACTGTGTGTTTTCTCTAGAATGTATTTCATTGCCAATGGAGTTGCTAGCAGTTCTTTAGATACTATCATCACATTTTTGCATAACCGGACATGTTGACATGAACTGACAGGTTCTATCTAGCCACAAAATGGAAAGAAATAGAAGACCGAAGCAAAACTCATTTATTAGTATTTAAGGAAATGTTTAAGATCTGGTATAAATTGTCCTTTGAAAATATTTACCCTGGAAACAAACTTGGAAGCATTTACTATTTTTCATGAGGTACATATATATTCCAGGGCCCTCATTAAAATGTTTGGTTAGTTTTTACCAGCTGCAGAAACAAAACAAATTTACTATTGGCACAGGTAGGTTAGTTTAAACATTGAATCCCATTCGATGATCTGATATTGTAGCCTCCCACCTAATTCCCAATAAAATAGCAATTAAAAAAAAAAACATCTGTACTACATTCAGAAATGTAGATAATATTAGAATACCAGCCTTTAGTTAGCGATAATCCTTTCATGGCTGAGTTGTTTTCTGCTCTGAATTTTTTATTGACACCATGTGTCCCCAGCAATCTAAGTTGTGCTGAAATCAAAAGCAAAAAAATTATTTTTGAGGAAATTTGGGTTTTGATGCAAGTATGTAGAACGAATATGTCCAAGTGGACCCTGGTGGTAGGTTTATGGGTGGCAGGATAGATGGAGCAAAGTCACTTTCTACAGATTCACATAGCTGTGAAGACCTCTGCCAGCGAGTGGCAAGCAACACGGCAGGAGCTGGGGCGGCATCTTCCCAAGAAACCTGAGAAGCTGAAATTGTTTGTGAGGTATAGACGGCCCACTGGTCACACAAGGGTGAAAATTCCTGGAATACCATCCTTACCCCTCATATTTATTATTTTAATAATATCAACACTTTAAATGAAAAGGGTTTGTGAAACTTCTCGGAAACCTATCTATGTTCAGGCCATAACCATTAATTGGACGGCTCCAGTGATGCTGAAATGACAATTGTTAAGAGATAACTTCTGTGTAAGGCCAAGTTTCCTCAAGCCAGTTGATGCTGTGAGGTGACCTAACTCAGAGTGCTGACGGTGCCTGCAGCAAAGAGGAAGTTTCATGAGAATGCTTTGAAAAACAACACAGCGAGGCACAAAATAGCAGATACAAAAATATGAATTTGTATTTTTAAAATCATTTTATTAGGGGCTCATACAACTCTGTATTTTTATATTGTTTACTAATTAGTATGGTTTGACCAGATTCCTCGTCTGCTTTCACTTGATAACATTCTTTGACTATTTTCTTGACAAAAGCTGACTGAAGAAAAAATTCTTGTATGGGGGTAAAAAAATCATTGAGAAAGTGGGGAGAGGATGAAGGCTCATGATAAATTTGAACAGCAAGGACATAATTATACTGAGGAAGTCGACCGACATAGATCTGTCAGGACAGTATGTGAGGCTGTTTCACCTCCCTGGAGAAAGGACATCAGTAACCGTGGAAGAGAGAACTCGTCATGACTTCCTCCTTACCTAGTACCTCTTTATATAAGCATTTGATCATTATTTGGGAAAGTCTCCTTGTCCTAGCAGTTGAACAAACAAGGGCATGAGAGTCTAGCCCATTGTCACACACGTCATTCAATGGGTGACTTTTCTCATTTCCTTTTTTGTTGACTAAACAGCCATCATTTGAACTTTTCTGTATGACATTTTCCTATAAACTAGGCAAGTGGAAAGCATTATTACCAGGTATGGAAACAATCTGTGGCACAGACAGGCGAAGACCAGTACAGCCACAACCTCCCATCACTTCACTGGTAAAATTCAGATGGGCCATTCCATTATTACTTTAATAGTACACACCTCGGTGGTGCAAATGGAATGTGCTCAGCAGCTGACTGAAGGGTTAGCTTGCAGGGTTGAGGTTCCTCAGAAGAAAGGCCTGGTGATCTCCTTCCAAAAAATCAACTATTCAAAGCAATCCTGTGGGGGACATTTCTATTCTGACACATTCAAGGGGTCACCTTGACAATTGATTTGATGGCAACTGTTGCATGCCTCAGTTAGCCTCTTTTTAAACGAGTCTTTGTCTATTTTCAGCATCTTTTTTAGCCAGGTTTAACTTGATAGCTGTGTCTTTGTCCTTGTTGACTGCCCATGTCTTCTGATGAGGGGAAGTAGAAACCCCTGAAGGAACCTCACCTATATCAGGATGGTCATATTCAAAGTAGAGCTGTTGGTGTTTAGTCTATCTGAGAGGACCTCCCCCTGATTGTCTCCCGAGGAGCTTACTCAAGTCTGCTTCTGTAAGTGTGACACAGTTGAGGAGCAGCGGTGGGATGATTAACTCTGTGATCCTACTGCTAACACTCAGCTGCCCTTGTCCACCCTCTGAAGCTCATGTAGCCGTCCACAGCCCACTCTTTGTGCAGTCTTCACCAGTCTGCAGATGCCCCTTTCTGCCTCGTTTGGGGTCCTAACCCAGTGGGCACTCCACCAGCCAGCCTCAAGTTCTTAAATATGTGTATATCCTTGGAAAAGGGAAGAGTGCCCGATGCTGTTAATTATTTGGTGTAAAACTATGTACCTACACATTGAGGCTTTTACCTGTTCCAGCTATTTTTCTTTCCCCTTTCCATGATTATTTGTTCCTTGCATGGCTGTTGGAAAGCTTACTTCTTGCTAACGTCACATCAATTTTGACACATAGCAACCCCAGAGAACCAGGTAGAATTGCCCCTGTGTGTTTCTGAGATTGTGTAACCCTTCACGGGAGTAGAAAGTCTCATCTTTTTCCTGCGGTTGAATTGCTAACCTTTCAATTAGCAGTGCACCACCAAGGTATCAAAGTATCAAAGGCAAAAGTGGCGGTGACCTTAATGACTTGATTTACACAGTATAATCTGTAGAAACTAGAAACAAATTAAAA